TCATCGCAATTCTTGATGATTTCACTTTTTTTTATTAACCTTAATAAACATTAGTAATTATGTATATAAAAAACACACTAACGATAACAAATTTACAAAGTGGGTGCTAATTCAAGTATTAAAATATACATAAGTAAAACTTTACATTTTGAACATTCTTAAATCTACTACATATTAAAAATAATCAATCTTACTTCAAAACAAAAAACCAAAAACTAAGAACTTAAAAAGGATAGTGGATTCATTATAATTTCTACTCATATATGAATAGATAATACTCTATAATTTGTTTTAATAAATATTAACAAAAAGAGGGGCTACTCTGCCTGCCTTAACCTAGCCAAACGTTGAGATAGTTCATCTTGTTCCTGAGAGGCTTGAGTGGCTGTACCAATGGTACTTCCCTGCACTCCCTGAGGAAGTTCCATGTTGAGTTCCAATCTAGATATAAAAAATTTTTTAAAAAAATCTCCAATAATTTCCACTACTCAACTTACCCAGCTTCATCGGCTACTTGCTGCATTAATGTATCAACATCATTTTGTGGGACAGCAGTCGTCGTTGATTGAGACATTGTATTCTCCATGTAACTGCTTTGGACATCTAAGTCTTCAAATTGCTGCTCAAATTTGTCCATTAATGAGGATATTTTCTCAAGATTCATACTCTTCATTGCTGCATCCATTGCCTTCACAACACCTTCAAAAAAATTGACTCATAAACAATCCATAGTAAATTTAAATTTAGTCATCTATGTAAGTAGATATTCTTCGAAATATTAGTGTTTATAGTAGTTAAATGTATTCAAACTTCAAACTGAACATCCTTAAGTAAAAACCTTACCTGCCATTGAAGTGGTAACTTTACGAGTTGTAAGAGCTGATTGTACCCTACTAGCTACAGCATCTACTCTTGCAGACATTCTTAAATAATTAATTGCTTGATTTTTCTGCCTAATTGCATTTTCTGCATGTATTCTTGCTACTTCCATGTTTCCTTTTTGGATGGCTTGTTTGGTTTTTGCCTTTTCTTGCTTTTCTTCTTTTTCGCATCTTTTTGAGTTCCGTTCTAATTCTTTGACAGCAAATTTTAAATTAAAAAGATGTTCTAGTAAATCTATAGGAAGCAATACACTGAACAAAAATCATGTTTTCATAATTTGAAAGGATACTTTCCATAGCAGACGCAGACATTTCGTTCCCCAGCTTGACGGTTTTTTGATAACTGTTAAGTAAAAAAAAATCCTCTAATACAAGAGATTCGCAGTTAAGTTGCTAATAATTTTCTTTCCAGCTGATGACTAATAGTTACCATAACGTCATGTTTATACTGTGCCAAGGGTATAAACATGTCATAACCATGGACATTTGTATTTTACATATAAATATTCTTTTAAGATGGTTCTTTTATACATAAATTGTAATTGCAAGGTTTCATATAACTTCTGTTAGTTATAAGTTCGTACATCGACTGATTACTGCTTACACCGATACAATTTTGGAAAATATTATCAATAAAAATTATATGTGCCCCTTTTTAAAATTATTTTTCCCAGAAAAATCAAAATATAAAAATGTTTTAATTTCCGTTTTTGAGTTTTAAAAACTTTTTTAAAATGTACTTTATTCATTTTACACATCTGACATGCAAACTCGATGTACACTAGTGAAAAAGTAGAGTTCAACACTTAATGGTGTGCTCCTGTAAAGCTTATCAAATTTATACATTTCTACAATAATTAGTGTAAAATGAAATGTTATAACAAATACCAGTGAAATTAACAAAGTTAATTCTTCACAGCAGAGTAATAATTTTGTATCGTTTCTTAAATATAATTCAATAAACTATAAAATTATCACATTTTTGCAGTTGGGACGGAAGGTTGCGTTTTGATTATTTCGGTCAGCCGCTGTTTAATTTGTGGTGATAAAGTGATATAAATTATGCTATTCTAATGCGCTAAATTAATATTTGCTATTAAATTAAGTGTTCTGGGTGCTAAAAGCAACAAAAGAAGTGTGGAAAGTCAAATCGGTAACCAAACGTATAAGAAACCCACGCCATTTTACTGTTTAAAATTCTAAAGAAAATAGTTCAATGGATTAAGGAATATGTGGTATTAGGTATGATTTTTATCCAATTTCATTATGTTTATGCAGTTTATCTCCTACAATTTCATATGCATGTAATGTTTAGGTATTTTCTTGGTAGACTTACTTCAGGTCATGGCCATAGGCATTCTTATAGCACTGCCAAATATATAAAACTATAAAACATAATTCAAAAATATTAATTATTTTGTAAAAGTTTCTGTTAATCTTTAATGAAATCAATATGTTTTAATAATAATTATGTCAAATATAGGTGTCTATCAGGTTATATAAAGAAATGGCCCTTAAAAAATTCTTTTTGTAGGGCAATGGTAAAGCTTAAGTACCAGTTATAATCAGTTATGGCTCAATTCAATCAATTATTGGGTCAAGCTGAGAAAACTCCAATAGAAGAATTAACTCATTATTATCCAACGATTGCTGAAAATCAAACGGTTCAGTACATTGTCAATTCTATTGCTCCTGATGAACAAAATTTGCAAGGACAACAGGTGTGTAACATATTTATTGGTATATTAAAAATTACCATAAAATTATATAGCTTTTGTTGCCTAAGATTCTAGTATCAACAGATCAGTTAATGCTAATAGAAAATCAGGCACAAGTAATATTGGATCCGACTCAAGTAACTTATCAGCCAACACCCCAGTATATTGTGCATGATGCAACTGCAACTATTGTTGATAATTGCACTCAACAACCACAAGTTTACTATATGAAAGAAGAAATAAACAACACGAAACCAATGCAACAACAACCAGAGCAAAATACTCCCATTGTATTAAATCATTTGCAAAACAGCACCTTGAAAACACAGATCTCTAATATAGCCACCCAAAAAGTTATTACGTTACAATCCCAACAAATGCAACAACCCCCTGTTAGACAAATGCAAAATCAGCCAACTCAGCAAAGGCTTCCTGTCCAGGTTTGAAGATTTTGCATTAATATGTAGCCAAAAACTCATGTGACATAGAAACTAAAAAATTTCAGAAATTATCTCTACAAAACTATCAATAATTTAAACAGGCCTTCTTTTATTCTTTTAGACTTTCATAATTTCATGTTTTATACTACCTTAATTGAGAAAACCCCAAAAAAAAAATATGAATTCGATTTTCCCACCTATGTAATTTGATTTTGTTAAATTTATTGCAGAGATTAAGAGCAATTAAGAGAGTATGAAAGAAACCTTTTTTTATGACATGCGTACTTTGTTTTTAATAAATATTTTTCTGCATCAGAATCGTCAGTTGCCTCAAGGAAGCACTATAAATTCTCAAAAGATGGTTCTTCAAACGCAACAACCCAAGCAGATAAGCCCAAATCCAACTCAGAGACCTGCAGCACCAAATATTCAGGTAAATCTTATTCTAGAGAAAAGTTTTGGCCATTACTTCAATGATACATGTTTTAAATGATAATATTTATAGCAACTGCAGCAAAAACTTCCTGATAAAATCGTTCAAAGAAACACAATGACCACCCACGTTCCCAACAAAGTTGTAACTCCACGTAATGTTCTAGTGCAAAATGCAGGTGCTTCCCGATTATTATCAGACGAAATTCCCTCTTTACATTTCCCCCAACGTAACATCAATGAAACTGAAACAGTATGTTAACAATTATTCTGGTCGCATGCAAGTTGTAGTTAAAGTAGCCTTATTTGTTTCATTGTTATTACTTACTTTTCACTCCCTCCATTTTTTAAATTATTTTCTGTATGAACCGTAGAATTATTGTTCAGTCAATAGTTGTCTTCCTCTTATTTAAAAGCTTGTTTAGAAAGGCAACATTTCTCATTGAACTGAATTCATAATTTTGCTTTTTCATTATTAATAAATGATAATATTTTTTAATATTCCAAAAAATAGACGTTTGGTTTCATATATAGTTATCGTCGGTGTGCATTTGTTAAATTTCATAGTTTGAAAGATGAAGATCATTTACTTTGTAGCAACGTCCAAAAATACCTGACAAAGCAACTTCCACCTTCACACCTACATCGGCCCAAGTTGCCGGTAAAATCGTCCATGCTCCTAGGACTGTGTTAACTCCAACTTCTTCGGTGATATCACACGAAGATGCTGCAAATCCTAATCGTTTTACGCAGCCCGTAGTCAGCAAACCCGACGCAGTACGGTCTAAATATTTAAATCGCTTCGTACTTTTCAATTTATTTTCATGCAGTCTTGCTTAAACAATTAGTTTTTGTGTATTCTTGGGCATTATTATGATCTGTTTCTTTCTCTACTTCAGCGAGTTACCTGATATATACAGATTGGGGGGGCCTTAGTTTATTCTTTTTAAATAATAAATAAAATTAATATTAGAGATATGATAATATGTAGCCATACAACTATTAACTATATTAACTTACAGGAAGACCCCGATAGTGAAGATGGTTTTACTTTACCGAGTGGAACAGTTGTATCCATTGCAGAATATAAACAAATGTTGCTTGAAAAGAAAAAGACGTCATTGGGAATGTATGACAAGTGAGTCTTCATACATTTATTTATTTTATTCTAAACGGGCAAAGCCCTTTACATAAAATTTTTACAAATATACAAAGAGTATGCCTGTCTCACAACAATCAATATCGTTTAAGCTAAACAATTTATAACAGTTAAACTATACAATTGACGTAAGTAGGTAATTTTATATTAACATTTATTTTGTTTTATTTCACAAAATCATTTCATTATTAGAAATGAAAGTGGAACATTTGTTGAACCAGCGTCTCCGAAGAAAAAAAACAACAGAAACTCAGGGAGTAGAGTAAAAGTAAATACTCTTCATCACAAGGTCCCTCGAGTTACTGGACGAGCTCCTATTAATAAGAGTGCTTCCACAAACACCTCTCAAGTGGATTTTAAAATGCAAAACAATGTGCACAATGTTGACTCTTCAATTGCAAGGCCTCTTCAGCACCTCCAAATGCAACAACAGTTTTCCAATCAGCAGTCCCCCCAAAACATAAGAAATTTAAATCACTTGACCAACCAACAACAGTTTCTTAAAACGTTAAATCAGTCCAGACAACCACAACAACCTATCCCCAAAACTACTTCGAATATTCAACAAGTACAGCATCAGCAACAACAGCAGCCACAGAATCAACAGTCTGTTCCCAAAAATATGGGAGCTCTACAACAAAGTCAGCAACAAAGCATGAAGAATACGGGACAACAGTTTCATCAGCCTCAACCCAAAACGAATCAGCAGCAGCAGCAACATTGTGGTCATCAGCAACAACTTCCTTCAAACACGCTGCAGCAGCAGCAACAAAATCATCCGCTTCGTCAACAACAACAGAACCAATCAAATTATGTACAGCCCCAGTATATTATTCAACCACCTTCTCAGCGTCAGTCGCAGCAAGTTTGTCCGTTACCGTCGTATGTTCCATCTACTCAGATTCAAGAAATTATAGGTAAAATATTAATTGTTATGTACTTAACAATAATTTGTATATATTTATAATTCATATTTACACCAGAAAGTACTCCAATAACTGAGGAATACAATGATTCGATTCGTATGCTGGTCCTATTAGAAAACGGTGAACAAAGACTAATAACCTTTACACTTCCCAAAGAAGTTTGCACTATTCAAGAGATTCTTGAGCAGGTATAGTTTATTGTTGTTGAAAAACTGCATTAAATACAAATTATTTGGTTTGCTTCAGGTTGGTGTACCTTTCCAAAAAGATACGAGAATAGAACTTATAGAGACAAACAGCAATGGAATTAATTACTTCGTTACAGTCGGTAATTTCCCAAAACTACACAATCAGGAGGTAAGTAAAAACGTAAAAATAAATACTTTTACACATACATAATACTATTACACATGTTTTTCATAATTTCTGGAAGGTTCAAGAAGAACGTATGGAAAAAGAGGAAGCTCCTCCTAAATCATCGCCTCCACCTCCACCACAGCCCATGCAAGTCAAACCTGAGCTGCCTAAAATTGTCGAGTCACCTTCGAAGTCCCCATCCCCAGAACCACCAAAAGAATTCCCGAAATTCAAGCCCGGAAAGTGCGCTGTCTGCAACCATTGCGGTTATTTGTCGGAAGACTTTAACAGGTGTCTACGTTGTGGCCGCAAACTTCCTGAAGACGTCAAGAGTGTGGCTACTGGTACCGCCAATGAAAGAAAGAATGTGTTGTCTAACCTACAACATGGGGTTTCCTCAGCACAGAAGAAAGAAAATGAATCCTCGCAAGCAAGTAGTGAGTTTTTATTTATTACTATTTTGATATTGATTTTTAAAAACATATCCATTATAGTAAATAAATACAAGTATTTATACATTCTTTAAAATACAATTGGTAAAAGGCATCGATCGTAGCGACACGCCGTGACAATAATTCGAATCAATCCTATCGGGTCAAATACGCCACGTTTCCATACGAAAACATGTGTTACAAGTTAATTTTGAAGCAATGTTTTTATCTTTGAGTGAAATTTTGGAGTTCTTGAACTCATCAATAAAAAGCCGTAATTTCGTTGAAGGAGAAAAAAGTTGTGAATGCTGGTCATTTAATATATTGTGGCATATTAAATAATATAAATAATCGATATGAGTTACGCTGAAAGAGTTTATATCATTATTTTCTGCCATTGGAAGGTCAGAACTTGTTAAAATATTTTCTTCATCGTTTAGGTTACCACAATTTCCATTTTGTTGGTTTATATTAGCTTCAGTACGATTTTTTTCTCTATTTAATCTTAATCTTAATCTTAATCATACTTCTATTAATTCGTTTCTGGTCATCTGAAGGCTCTTTTATATTACATGAAGGTAAATTACAGGAAGGTATGGCATCTTTCTTCAAGAATTTGAAACCTTTAAAAATAGAGTCAACATGTCTCATTGTCCACAAAATTCAAAATATTGATTAATGTAATTAATATTTGAATTAATTTTAAATAATTAGTTATAGCTTAAAGTAATTATGCAAAAAAATGAATATTTACCAGGTGGAACATAGTCACTTCTTTTAAAATGTAACTAACAAACTTGCATGTGCTGAATTACTGTTTCCCCAATTTTTAAAACTTCTTGCCATTTTTTATGGCAATCGACTTTACCGAATTACCGAAATAATTTTGTATTTTTACATAGTAACTATTTGGTTTTGGAAAATAGTGGAAACGAACGCCCGGATTGTTAAACGCTTTACTTTTGCAACCATAGACACAACAAAACATTTTACTCGTAGTTTTTTTGGAGAAAATCTTGCTCCATTTGTTTCAGATTGATTTTCCATACTTTAAAATAATTTTATTTATTTTATTCTATTATAATAAAAATAAAAAGAATTACGTATGTATCTCTTTCTACTCGCTGTGTAACAGCTAACCCGATAGGATTGGTTCGAATTATTGTCACTACGTGTCGCTACGATCGATGCCTTTTACCAATAACAGAATTAGAAAATTTGATAATAACACATGGTAAATGCTTTAAAATTACCTTTTTTTCCACGTGTTTATGAATGACTTTTGTAAGACAATGTATTATGAAATATAGGCCTTGGTGGTGCTATAACGCTAAACACAAAGAATCCTATTATGGCTAAGAAAAAACCAAAATCTAAATTTGTTGAACAAGAACCTGTAATTCTTACGTTAAGTTCAGATGATGAAGACGATCACAAACCTGCGAATAAAATCCCTCCTGTAAGTCATAATGCAAAATAAAATGAAGAAAAAAAAAACAAAAACAATCCCGTTTATTTAATTTTTAGGTAACTGATCATTTATTAAGGAGACTATCAGAATCTGCTGTATCTCTCAGTAGAATAAGAAAGGAACCCTCTGCAAGTGACATTGAAAATAACTCTCAAGAAAAGCAAGATTCTAAAGGTACGTTAATGTTAATGTTCAGAAAATAAGAATGTGGCTATAGTTAGTTCTTTCTGTGTATTTACAGGTAGTAATGTGGATGATATTCCTGAAGTAATCGTGGAGATTTCATGCCGTACTATAAGAATTGGTTCATACAAATTCTTACCCGTAGATAATGTAAGTAAATATTTTTAAATAGATAAAGTTTAGCATAGCTCATTTTCCTATTATCTTCAAAAATACACAACTATTTATTTCTTCCATTGATCGTCTATATATATGCTAAATATAGTTAATAAACATCTGATTTCAATTCTGCCTGTTTATAAACATAAATTTTGTGAATGAATCAATTTAATTTAGATTTTAAAAACAATAAATTATTTGTCCCTATTGAATATCATTTTTATTTTAACTGGCATGTACTTTTTTCAGAAACTGATTGTAAAAACATCCGGAATTTCATTCAAAGCCCCATCACTGAAAGATAACACAGAATATAAGACGATAAATATCAATAAAGAAGGAATTGTGAAAGTGTTAGTTAGTTTCCAGAAGACGATGCCCGTTCTCTTTTATTATTGTAACCCGAATGTAGCCAAAGCCATATGCGAGGAGCTTGGCATGACCAAGGAGAGCGAGTACTTTTTCGATCCTCTTTCAGATGAAGAGGCACACAAAAGAATAACCGTTCTTGTGAACATAGTGCCTGAAGAGGCACGCAACAGTTTGAGAAAAATTTATTCGGTCCCATGCAATATAATAGACGAACTGACTACTGTAGAAGCAAACGAGTTGCTTTGTAAAACGTGTCCGAAAGAGATTTCATCTGTTATTGCCAGCGTAGGGTAAGTTACCTTTTTTCTGTTTATTATACGTACCCTTAGCTATAAAATGAAAATTTGGCATGATGGGTCGTGATCCAAATGAACGGTTCGATGCAAACGTTTTGTCAGCAATTGCGGCTAACACCTTACTGCATTGACAATGTGAAAAAGTGTTATACCTCGAAGTTTTATAATCTTGGTGTCGCTCTAGGTAATAACCTTCTCACATTGTCAACTGAAGATGTCAGTCTCATTCGCCAACAAATCACCTGGACCTAACCGTTCTTGTAGACCACAACCCATTAGCCGTAATTCTACTATGAATTTCGACAATCTTATGTTGCTCAATGAATAATACTACAGAATTATTGTACGATAAGAATTAATTTTTATTACAATGAAGTATGCGAAAATTGTAAAAATTTTAAATATAATTAAAGTATTGTTAATGTTTTTTCTTTTTAGGTACTTGGAAATTAAACAACTGCTTATTTATCCACCTGGAAAGGGAGGTTTATCCATAAACACAGAAGATTACTTGTGCTTAGGGCAAGACCAATTTTTAAACGACGTTATTATAGATTTTTATCTGAAACATTTAATTCTAAACTTGCCACCAGAGCAACAGGAAAAGGTGTACGTGTTTTCAACATTTTTCTATAAACGTCTGACCACAAAGCCTGCAAAAACCACAAGGTACGTGTATTATATATACGAAATCAATGTACATCGATTAAAAAAAATAAAAAAATTTCCCAATAACTAAATATGTAATTATTGAGACTAAAGCAATTTCCAGATTGAATTAGTATTTACTTACCTATTTATTATATTTTTTTGTTATTATATTTTTGATTCAGCTCTGCCAACTTTAGAATACTAGAATTTTTTTTTAGATATGATTCCTACAAAGGAAACCAACATTAGAATAATTAAGTTTAATTATTCAGTGGTGCCAATATTATATCGTTTTGCACTTTTTTTTAAATAATTAATAATGACCACCTGAATTTTTTCTACGAAATAATTTGTTTGTTAATCTAGGAACAGTTTTTATATAGTACTAAACTTCAGTTTATTTAGGAAAAGTCACCCATTGGAACATGATCCCAATTTAACCCCTTCCCAGAAGAGGCACGCACGAGTGGAAAAGTGGACAAAAAGTGTTAATCTGTTTGATAAAGACTACATTATTATCCCCATAAATGAAAACTGCCACTGGTTCCTTGCCATCATTTGTTTTCCATCATTAACAGGCTGTTATACTTTCGACGGAAAATTAGTTAAACTTGAAACTAAGAAGAAGAAGACAGGTAACTATTAAATCATTTTATTATAGTATGAAAATTACAGATATGATATGATAATATTATGTCAGTTAATCTTAACATTAATTCTTTAGTATCTATTTTTGGAGTATAAATCAAAGTATGAAGAAAACAATAGAGATGTGTAATTGTGAAAAAAAATTAGAACTAAATATAATAAAATGTATATGTAGATTTATTATCATTTAATTTTCAGTTAAAACGAAGAAAGAAGAAAAGCCAATACCTTGTGAAGAATTAGAAGCCAGTGATAAAGACGAAGCTGAAGGTGATGAAAGCGAGTTAGAGTCTGAAGAGGAAGGTGATAGTGAAGAAATCATCAGTGAAAAAGACTGCGGACAGCCTATTAAACAGTAAGAATGCATTAAGCATCCAATTCTGTTTTTATATGATAAACACGTTTTTAAATTATTAGAAACAAATATAAAAAGGAGAATATTTTTTAATTCAAATTAATTCAAAATTGCGTAAAACCAAAATATAACATTTTGCATATATACTATACTCTTACATTTCTTTTTAGACCCTGCATTTTAATTTTCGATTCTTTGGCTGGTACGGGACGTTCTAGGGTGGTTGCCACTTTAAGGGATTACCTAACATGTGAGCACAAAGCCAAGTTGGGTACAGAAAAGATCTTTACTAAAGATGTAATCAAAGGTGCATGCCCTAAAGTCCCCCAACAGACTAACTTCACGGACTGTGGTCTATATTTATTACAATACGTAGAGCAGTTCTTTTTGGTAAGTTTTATATAAAAACTCTTATATACTATTTACCTCTATTTCTTGTAGGACCCCATAAAGGACTATCGAATGCCAATAAAGCAGTTGAAGAATTGGTTTGAAGAAATAATTGTAACGAAAAAGCGCGAAGACATAGCCAATCTTATCAAGGAATTGATGTTAAAATATAATAGGGATCCTTCTGTTTTACCTGAAATAACCCTTCCCACACATAACGGTAACACTATTACAATTATATTGCTGTCTTGGTGATTGTACAAGGGGGTTAATTTTAGGTAAATTGCTACCGCCCGAACACATGATGGAGGAATGTGAAGATTTTATGGAGGAAGAAGAGGAAGAGGAAGAGGAAGAGGAGGAAGAAGATGATGAAGAGATGGACGATGCTGATCTGGAAGGTTTTCGTCGTGAACTGGCCAAGAAGTATCCACAATTTGAGAAAAAGCACCTGCAACAACAGCATGAATCGGAAATGGATACCAAATGTGGTGAAAGAAGAAGATCAGAAGCATTCAGCGACGAAGAATGTTCATCGTTGCCGTCGAGAGAAAGTGTAAGGATGGAAGATGGGTTTAAACAAGAAACTGTGCTATTAAAGCCGGACATGAGTGAAGCCTCTCACAAATCTTCAAATCGCGACACTTTGTCATATTTAAAGGCGAAACGTATTAACAGACATAAAAACGTAGACCATTGTGACCCGAAGAAATTTAAATCTTCAAGTTAGGCAAATTAAAAAAGTATTTAAATGTAAATATGTTGATATTTTATCATGATTATTATTATTATTTTAAGTTGATAGTTGTCTTTCATGTTGTACTTTTTATAATATACGAGATCTTCGATACGCCATAATAAAACGTACGGATTTCCAAATGTTTTCTTTCCAGGTGACGAAATAATTGCGTTTAGTTTTTAGTTTTAATATTTTCAGTTATTATTTACAATTAGATGTTCTGTAATGTTTTTAGCATTAAGGAATAAATTTAAAAGTAGCGCTCGTTTTTATTTTTTTTATAGATGGTAATATTGTTAGTTAAGAAGTCCTGNTGTGCAGTATTTGTTTTTATATATCGTTAGCGTTATTTTCGCTGTTTTAAGTGTATTATTCTAATTTATCTACTTTATAATGTAATGCTTCATTTAATTTTTTTTTATCTTTTTGCAGTCTCTGGAGCAAACAACACCTTTATAAGATATGTCGTTACATTCTTTATTTAATATATTGTCTCAAATACTATAATTGGAACAAGAGAGAAAAGAAAATCATCAGCAGAAGTAACCTACAAACTGTCATTTGTTTTGATTGAATACGAACAAAAATACGAAATTAATACTTACCATTCTTAAATATTTGTATAAAATAGTCATTGAAATGTACTAACTGTATTGTAAAGGTTTTTTGTATTTTTCATTTTACATTTAAATTTTGATACTTTTTCATTTTTTTAGGTTTAACAAACTGAAACCGTTGTGCTGTCAAATCATATATGGCGGCTGTTGGTCGCCTCAGCTTTACATTTTTTTATGTAAATCGACGTTTATACAGAGCAAGTATTTTATTTTCCAATGAAAATAGTTGATATATATTTAGTGATAAAGTGTTGTTAATTAGTTATGTCCCAGAAAACATCTTGAATTAGGGGAAGCTAATTATTATAGTTTAAATTTTATCGGTGTAATAGAGAAGAGTTATATTTTTTTAAATCGCCGAATTATTATCCCTGGTACGGTGGTGCTTGTTTCTATTGCCCTTTCGTCAAAATATGGCCGATTCAGCAAGCGAATCTGATTCTAGCAGCATCGACGGTGGCCCCATTATGATGCCTCCAAGTCCGATTACTAGAGAACAACTTCAAAAACGGATTGAAAGTTTACAGCAGCAAAATCGTGTCTTAAAGGTTGAGCTAGAAACTTATAAATTGCGCGTAAAGGCACTCCAAGAAGAAAACAAAAGTCTGCGACAAGCATCAGTTATAATTGTAAGTTCATATTTTTGTAATGACTATTCTAGTCATTTAATTTAGTACTTCCATTATCACTGTAATATCGTTATTAAATTTATTGTCTATCTCTAATTATAAATGAAATTCTACAAAAAATATAGAGGCAACATTCTTTTGCAAATATTTAGTTATTTATAGCTCTTGTTTTTCCTCTTTTGTCTAAAAATAGTATGTCAAAAAATTCAAACAAACACATTAAAAGGGTAGTGATTATTTAAATGAATATTAGCTTACTGCATTTTGATTTATGTGGATATGATATAATGTTTCTGTGTAAAAGGAAAGTGTGTAGGTATACCTTTGATAATTTTGTTCAAATATTTTCAAATCATTTATTCTGAATATGTTTGTAGTATTTATTTGATAATTGTTGTATCTTTCTCCAAAGTTTCTCCCTTAATTACGTTTATTGTAATAACAACAGTGATATAGATATAATTATTCTTTAATAAGAAGTGTAAATACAAATTTTGATATCCATGAGTGAAATATTTTGATTTTATTTACCATGATAAAGATTGATTAATGTTATAGCAAGCAAAAGCTGAACAAGAGGAGGAATTTATTTCAAACACCCTCCTAAAGAAAATTCAAGCACTTAAAAAGGAAAAGGAGTCTTTAGCACATCATTATGAGCGAGAAGAAGAATGTCTTACAAATGATTTGTCAAGAAAATTGACACAGTTGAGACAGGAAAAATGCAAACTTGAGCAGACTTTAGAACAAGAACAGGAGTGCCTTGTTAATCGTTTAATGCGCAAAATAGAAAAATTAGAAGCTGAAACTTTAGCCAAACAAAGTAATTTAGAGCAGTTACGAAGGGAAAAGGTAAACTGAACCTTTCTAGTGTTTCCTAATGTAAATATAAATATTCTGGTTATAGGTAGAGTTAGAAAATACACTGGAGCAAGAGCAGGAAGCGTTAGTGAACAAGTTGTGGAAACGAATGGACAAGTTGGAGGCAGAGAAGAGAATGCTTCAAATCAAATTGGATCAGCCTGTGTCTGATCCTGCTAGTCCTCGTGACATTAGTAATGGAGACACAGCCAGCAATCTCAGTGCACATATTCAGACTTTAAGGAACGAAGTTAATCGACTTCGTCAAACCCTCGCCATTAGTCAACAAGAACACGCTCAAAAAATGCAACGCTTTGCTCAGGAGGAACGTTGTATTCGTGAGGAAAATTTGAGGTAAAAAAAATTGACATTTCATTTATTAATCTAATTATTGTTGTTACTTAATGAAAACTCTTACTAACTTATTTTATTTTTCCTCCATTGCCTGAAAATCTGAAATATTTGTTTACCAAAGAATCAATTATACTTGGACATTTTTTGGCCAAGCAAAATTGCAATTAATAAATTAATCCTATCTCGTAGTGGCTACACCGTTGGCTCAGTTTGAGGAGTTAATACTAGAAAAGAACTTTATCGAGCTTTATTGAGTCCCACAACAAGTAGCAATTTTTTACAAAAGGCGTTCACACGCTTTGTATAATTTTCAAGAAATTAGGCATGTAATTTAAATTTTTGGTGCAGGCTTCAAAGAAAACTTCAATTGGAAGTGGAAAGGCGTGAGGCGCTGTGCCGTCACTTGTCTGAAAGCGAAAGTTCGCTAGAAATGGAAGAGGAAAGGCATTACAATGAGCAGGTTTTGGGTGGTCGTGCTCATGCCATCTCGCCGATTCCACCAAATCCATCGCCAAGTCAAAGTCGTCCTTTGAGTCCAGGTTAGTTCGTAAAATTTCGAAATAAAGCACTTCAGAATATTGACATTTATATTGTGGGGGGCGTCCACTTTTTGGAAAATCAGTTAGCAGTTTTAATCAGAATAAGAATCATTGCTGATTAAGCCAGAAAAAATCTGTAAGTAATTTTCCTGTGATTATACTTAAACTGTGAAAAGTAATCATGATCCACATTAATAATGTATTTTAACTGAAATCGTAAGAATACTGATTTAATATCATCTAAGTATAAATATATCACACCTAATTCATGGAATTGCCGATTTCACGAAATATACAGCAAGGATACTTGCTTCATGAACTTGGAAGACGATTATGTAATTTATGAAACATATTTTAAAACAATGACTAAAACTCTTGATAAGTTAATAAATGAGGTAGTATTACGTACTCAGTGTCAGTAATTTCTTATGCGAGGTGTACGATGTGTTGCATACCCATTTACAAACAATTCCTTTAAATTTAATTTTTCAAACAATTTTAAACACAAAGAAAGTGATTAAACAAATTGTTCAAAAAAGTGAATTTAAACCACTCGAAGCAATGGTGCTAACAGTTTCGAGCTTACAATGACTGATAGGGGGAAAGAAGTTTTTATTCTAATCTAAAAATGTTAAATGTTTGTTTTCTTTCAGGCTTGTCATTACAAGCACCGTCACCACGTGAATCGCTGGTTGGCGTTCCATCACGATGTCACACCTGCGGTCAGGCTGTTATCCAGACTACCAACGCGGGCGGTAGTCCCCCAGCACTAGGGCAACGTCGTACCAGCGAAAGATTCATAAAACCGGCCATCCCAGCTCCACAACCCGCTAGCCCTATGGACACTACCACTAACAAAGATTAAAGTGTTTTTCTCTTCATGTGAAGCAGCTGCGAGGAGCTTCTTTCCTGTTCAGCTCCCATCCCTGCCGCCCGACACCCGGTCAGTCCCTACTACTTTCGTCGTTAATGTTATTGGGGGTGCGTGTTGTTTTCTTTTTTATTATTATTAATGCTATTACCTACTACGCCAGCACAAAAATGTCTCAACTAGACGCGAAAGAAAGTAATTTTTTAATGTACAGGGTGATTCGTTCATTGATTGCATGCTTTATTTTCTAAAAAACAAGGAGTAAATATTATTTAGGCAGTTGTAGGCTTTTTGAACATTTAAAATTTTTAGATTTGCATTCCATTTTCTTTAAAAAAAAAACAACTGAAAAGTAAAAATATATGTTAATAATTTAAATGTAATAAATTTCTGAGGAAGTTACGAATTTATAATATTAACAAACTAGTAATTTATGTTAGATTTTTTATGGCATTGAAACACCCTGTATATATATTCGCAATTTAGCTCATTTAGCAAATCGGTTGCATATTTATTAGAAGTGGGAGTAAGAGGCATTTCGCAATTTTTGGAAATAGACATTAATAATTTTCTGTTTTTTTTTGTTTTTTACAAAAACCAATATTGCGGGGGTTTTTGCATTATGCGTCATTAAAAGCATTTTATTGTTTGGTTATTACTTAGTAATTTGAAAGCAGTCTATGTGCTTGTGAGAACATTTTCCAAAGGATTGGTCTGTATTTTCTTTATTGTCAACTGTTTTACACATATAGCAGTTAAAGTATCTGCTTTTGATCTAAACTTGATGTGCGATTTATTATTAGCAAATTCGTTTAATTGTCTCATTCTGAACAAATAACGTCACACTAATATAGCTCTGAATGTAACGTTACATAGTTATTTGGTGTTTTATGTATATCATCAAGGAGATAACGTAACCATTATGGATATAAAGCAGGTGACGAAATTAGCCTGGAATAATAATAATAATAATTATAACCCCACGAAGATGCTTCAACTGATGGGTTTCTGTTTAAGCTTTAAAATAAATAAATAAATTAAAAAAAAAATAATAATACATAGTTAACGTGAAATCAAACGATGCAATAGGTACAGCAGAGTTTAAATGATAATTATAGTCATTATGACAATTGTGCTAATAATAACGCTCTTAGATAAAAGATGTGTATTTAGATGTTTCTAGAAACGAAACATTTTTAAGGATAAAATGTTTCGATATTTTTGAAAAGTATTTTGCGGTGTCAACTTAAATAAAAAAAACGTATTCCTAAATAACCAAATCCATTGCCTTTTTCTCTGTAATTTTTGGTGTTTACTAATAGGTAAGGCACATGATATTCTATGTAGAAATGTTCGCCATAATAGAAATACTTACGTTTATTAAGGAGGTTAATACTTGTGTGTACGAGTAAGCACTTACCATTTTTTGGAAGTTCATAGGTATTTATATAAATTAAAAAAATTAATGTTTTCCTCAAATTTTTATTAATTTTTCCTCTTATTACCTCAGTTTGAATGTCCTTTCATGTTTCTAAACTATGCAGTTCTTATAAGAATGCATAATAATTTTTTTATTTGATTTAAATTGTTATCCTAACTTTGAAATTTCGCAGTAATAAATGTGTTTTTTCAATGTTTCACCTCATACTTTTCTATGGTATCGACTTCCTTAAAGGACCTGCAACTTATTCTATTTTGTATTTTTTTTTTAAGTGAATTTCAAAAAACGTTTTATTCAGAAATGCTTTCAGATAGGAGTTATAATAAATTTTGAGGCCGTTGTAGAAAATTTAAATATTCAATTTAAGTTATGGAATTTATAATCGAAAATTGAATGAAAAGCTTTTTTGTTTATATAGGTATACGTATTTGTTTAATGTTGGTATATATAGTACATATACATATTAGCAACTTATTACGTAATTCGTAATTTCTTTTTTGCAGATATATTTTCTTTTTCGATCTTCGCCGTTAAATTTCAAAATTGAAATGTTTTATTTTCAACTAAAAGAAAGAAGTTTTTCCATTAGATGAATTTGCATTTTAGCATATGTTTAAATTCAAGAAATGAGATTTTTCAATTATTTATTTGTCTCAAGATATAACGAAAAATTTCATTTTCATTTATATAATTTTGGGTGTATTATTTGATGTGCATGTTTATTTTTATTTTTTACTTATATGTTAAACAAAAAGGTCGTTATTTAGATGTTAGGTATATTTATATCATTTTTGTAATTACGTTTTTTTTATAACTGATTCACAGGATTAGATATTTCGTAGAATTTTTCACCTTTTTTTTTAATTACTATTTTATTGATTTGCACATTCAAATTTTATCGTTTCTCCTTACGTTGTTTAAATTTTACACATTTACATATTTAATTTAAATAAATAATTTTTGTTAAAGTAATACGGTCGCTAATTTTGATATGTGCAACAGTTAAGTTTCGTTCGATTATTAAGCTTTAAACTAATGCCTAAAGATCTAAAAATAATTCGAAAATTTTACAATAGAAAACAGACTTCAATAGATCTGTTTCTTTAGTATGAAACAGCCTCAAAAGTAAGTGATATTAGGTGTAACATTCAGATTAAAGTTAGAGATCGGCTGTGTACGTCATGCTGCGACTTTTCATGTTGCATCATGATAAGAATCTGATAGGAAGGAGTATTGTTGAAAGTGTAGCTTTCGTCATGCTGTAATTTACTGAATTCTTTATGTGAATTAATGACCATTTGTTAAATTTGCAGGATTTATTGCAGATTATTTGTTTGTTCTAAGAAGTCATGTTATCCCAATTATTATAATAGTATTTTGTAGACTTAATTTTTTGTTTGTATATTTCGAATTAAACAACGCTACACGTTTTCAATTAAAAATATTGAACTACAAACCTTAGTTTTTGTTTATCTACTACTGCGTAGCTTCTACCTATGACTTTGTTTGTGTGAATCAATAAGAAATACAATTGTTATAGCTGTGTAGTTTACATCACTTTTAACAACCTCCTCTTCGTGTCTATAAAGTGCAATTGAAATCGGTTCATACAAAAAAAAATTTAAAGGTCATTTGTGACTTAACAGCCCATAATAAATAAGCGTATGGCATATGAGTTTAAATGTAACGCTACCAAATTTCCTGAAAAATATGTTTTGATAATCCCATATACATGCTGTGAAATTTAACTCACGGTCTTAACATCCGACTGCTTTTTTTATCAGAGATTAAAACTTATCTCTTAATATCCAGATATATTGTACCTGTAACATTATTTCGACCGATGTACAGCGACATTCGTCCTGCAAATTAAGGTAAGATTTCTTTGTAATATAAGAAATTGTATTAAACCATTTTATTATTACCAAACTTAAATGTTTTATATAAATATATGTTAATAATTTAAATGTAATAAATTTCTGAGGAAGTTACGAATTTATAATATTAACAAACTAGTAATTTATGTTAGATTTTTTATGGCATTGAAACACCCTGTATATATATTCGCAATTTAGCTCATTTAGCAAATCGGTTGCATATTTATTAGAAGTGGGAGTAAGAGGCATTTCGCAATTTTTGGAAATAGACATTAATAATTTTCTGTTTTTTTTTGTTTTATGATATAATGTTTCTGTGTAAAAGGAAAGTGTGTAGGTATACCTTTGATAATTTTGTTCAAATATTTTCAAATCATTTATTCTGAATATGTTTGTAGTATTTATTTGATAATTGTTGTATCTTTCTCCAAAGTTTCTCCCTTAATTACGTTTATTGTAATAACAACAGTGATATAGATATAATTATTCTTTAATAAGANATTTAACGTTTGTTTTTTATTGCATTGTTCTTATTTACGATTAGTGATAATTTTAGCTACTAATGATTTCTAAATTTCTTTTTTTAATTGTGAAATGATAGTTTCAATCAAACGAAGGCAATTGTTTTCCGTATATATTGTGCAATTTTTACTGAAGGTAATTTATTGACTAAAACTAAATTTTAGTCTTATTACAATAGATTTGAAATGGTTTTATTTTGTGCAGTATTTGTTTTTATATATCGTTAGCGTTATTTTCGCTGTTTTAAGTGTATTATTCTAATTTATCTACTTTATAATGTAATGCTTCATTTAATTTTTTTTTATCTTTTTGCAGTCTCTGGAGCAAACAACACCTTTATAAGATATGTCGTTACATTCTTTATTTAATATATTGTCTCAAATACTATAATTGGAACAAGAGAGAAAAGAAAATCATCAGCAGAAGTATTGAATAACAGAAACATGGACTTTATTAATTGGAATTGAAAGAACTTAATAAATGAGTATGTGCATAATTTTTTACACTTTCGAAATCATGTTTAATAAATACATAATTTATTTCGTAACTCACCACAACTATTTAAAATTTTTAACAATTAGGGAAATATATTTTCAATATACCACTAATAAAGTGTAAATTTACTTTTTTAAAGGGTTAAACCATACGAATTTAGACCAAACAAAATCAATTATTTGTTTTGAATATACAATGTCCAATTTTTTATTAAGATTAAGAAAATATGACTAGAACCAAATTTTACTTTTATTATTTATAATGAATTTTAAACGCACTTAATTTGCTCACCATGTATCTTTACTTATCTTTAATTTAGCTTTATTTTCACTGTTGTCTACACTATGTATCAATCCATGCAGGAAACATTTATATAAACCTTACCCAGTGTAACTGACAGTGTAAATATTTTTAGAACAGAATTACTTGAAGAGGTGAACCTGTAAGTTGATGTAAGCTCATATTGAATGCTAATAAATTAGTTAAAAACTATATATTACAACCTGTTAGCTATTGTATACTCACATCACTACATTGGAACCCATTTATGCATTACTTAAACGTTTTAATACCAGATTATTTGTATCAAAAATAAGCAAAAAATATATTGTATAAATATTGTTTTAATTTTTTTTTGAACGATAAGTGACAAACTCTTAATTTATGAGATAAAATGAAAAGGCTTGGCAACCTAGTAATTATTTTGCTTAATGATTACTAATTTAAATCATTTATTGAATAATCTTTGATATTAGACGTGATTTATTTATAAATTAAGCAAAAATTTTCAACAAGAGTTCGATTTTCCTTCATATACATAAGTCGTTTTTTACCGGAAAAACGTATAAAAACCCCCATAAATAATCATTTTTTGGCAAAAATAAAGCAAGCGGGGGTTTCCTAGATAACAAATGAAAACAATGAATTAAATTTGAAGAATTAACGATTTTCTGTTAAAACATTCCAGTTATCCCTTGTATTGCAGTTAAGGAATTATAGGATGTTCTTCGTATTATTTTAACTGACGCGACATCTTGCGGCTGGTAGTCAAATGTTGCTATATCTAATTTACAGTTTTCATCAGTATTACAGATGACTACCAGGTAGCTACTAAAGTTTAAACGACAATAATAATAACACTAAATTCACGCGGTAAATCGTCTGATTTCCCAAGCATCTTATGCTCTCCTAATACACATTTTCAATTTTCAAAGTTTCGCTGGAATTATTTCGTAATATGGCAGGCGCCTTCACCATTTATTTTTGACCATAAATATGTGATTTGATGAACTACTTTTGCTTAATTTAATAAAAAACAATATAATTACACACTGGATTGCTTTATTTTTATCAAATAATGCTATTTTATCTCATTTTAAAATATCATTTCTTAACAAAGATAAAGCTAACAAGAACGTATTTATTTAGCTCATTTATTGATATCAGGTATCATTTACATCACTTGTTGATTAATCTTTGATATTGGATGTGCATTATTGAAGAATTAAGCAAAACTATTCTGCCAAAGTTCGATTTTCATTCCTATACGTGGGTCGACCTTAAACCAAAAAAACGTTAAAAAACACCATAAATAATAATTTGTTGGCAAAAGTAAAGCAAGCGGGAGCTCTCTATATCATTTATTGGTTAATCTACATCATCAGTTATCACTTATCGATGAATACAGCAAAAATAATTGGCACAAGTTCGAATTTGGTTCCCAAAAACGATCGACAGGTAGCTATACATGGGTTATTTTCGGGAACTAAAATCGAACACTAGGTCAAATTTTTCTCTTTATTCATTAATAAATGACAACTGATAACGGTAATTAATTAATAATTCATAAGAAGTAGCTGTGGCTAGCTTTATTTTTGCCAAAAAATGATTATTTATGGTGGTTTTACGTTTTTTTTTCGTTCATGACCGACCCACGTATAAGAATAAAAATCGAACGAATCGAGTTGAAAATTTTTGATTCAAGCAATTTAGCAAAAATTTTCAGATCGATTCGTTTGATTTTAATTCCTACACGTGGGTCGATCTTGACCGAAAAATTCGTAAAAAACACCATAAATAATCATTTTTTTACAAAAATAAAGCAAGCCACAGCTAGTTCTTATTATTTATTAATTAATTATCGTTATCAGTTGTCATTTACTGATGAATTAAAGAAAAATTTGTCCTAATGTTCGATTTCTGTTCCCGAAAA